CCTGCTGAGCAGGGAGCCCGATGCGGGACTCGATCCCAGGACTCCAGGATCATGACCTGAGCCGAAGGCAGTCGCTTAACCGACTGAGCCATCCAGGCGCCCCCCCTCCCATCACTTCTGCCAGTAAGTTGAAGTAGATCATGCTGGAAGCAGGGACCTGGGTGTGAGGAGAGCACACAGGCCTGGGCCCGGGGGGAATGTAGGGCATTTCCTGCCCCCCTGTGCAGGGCCAGTGGTGGTGGCAGAAGCCCTGACTCGAGGTCGGGGTGCTCTTCTCTCTTGTAGGGGGAGGGGAAGCTATTAGCCATGGACAAGTTGGGGAATGGGATGAAAGACCCCGGGGGACAAAGGGATGGTCCATGGGACATAGAGTACTTCTCTGAATAAGGTTTTCTTTTTTTCATTTAACTTAAAAAAAAAAAAAAAGCCCTAGTGTGTTCATGCTGGGGCCTCAACGAGCATGGGGAAGCAGGAGCCTAGGTGCCCTTTCTCCTCAGCCCCGGGTTCTGGAGGCAGGGCTGCCGCAGGAGCCCCGATGTTTACACCGTGAAGAAATGCCTCATCTGGTGACACACATTAGATTCACAAACAGGTGGTCGAGGAATGTTATTAAGAGTAACCATTTACTGAGCACCTGTGAGGCCCGGCCTTGTATGTGCACGACCTCACGTAAATCTCAGAACAACGCCGTGAGGTAGGTGTTGCTTTTCATCCTCATGTCACACAAGAGGAAACTGAGGTAACACGAGGTGAAGGGACTTGTCCAAGGGTCACATGGGTCAGTGCAGTCAGTGTGGGACGGAAGTGGGATTGGAGTCGGGCCAAGCTGACTCCGGAGCCCATACTTTTGCCCAGAAGCTCTATAATTTGCTAGAATTATAATTTTTCTTTCTGTGAGTGTTTTTATTTATTTATTATTTATTTATTTTTTTGAGAGAGAGAGAGCAAGTGTGTGGGCCAGCAGGTGGGGAAAGGGGTAGACAGAGGGAGGAGAGGGAGAGAGAGAGAATCTCAAGCAGTTCCCACCCCTGGCACAGAGCCCAACGCAGGGCTCGACTGAGCCACCCACGTGCTCGTCTGTGAGTGTTTTTAGAAATAAGGAGACTCAGGGACGCCTGGGTGGCTCAGTCGGTGAAGCACCTGACTCTTGGTTTTGGCTCAGGTCATGATCCCGGGGTCCTGGGATCGAGCCCCGCATCAGGCTCCCTGCTCAGCGGGGAGCCTGCTTCTCCCTCTCCCTCTGCCACTCCCCCTGTTTGTGCTCTCTCTCTATCAAATAAATAAGTAAAATCTTTTTAAAAAATAGAAACAAGGGGATTCAAAACTGGTCTGGCTTGTATTCTCCTCTAACCCCTTCTCCCGTTTCCTATGGACTGGTAACTCTTCCTCTCCTTCCTTCCCAGGGCTTTCCGCTGCCTTCTGATCTGTTCTGATTCCCCTGCCTTACCTTTCTCGGACTGCTTCCTCAAACTCCGAAGCACACTTCAGCTGTTCTCTGTGCTCCTCACGGGTGCTCCTCAGTCAGCCTGGCCACTCCTGAATTTCTAGGCTCTTGCAGCTCTCCACCTCTCATTTTGCACCCTCTGGGACATAGCCAGGAAAAGCTCCCTTTGGGGCCCCTAAGCACCCTCGTGTGGGCACTGGGATCTCAATTTTTGCTCTCCCCTTTAGATGGAGAGCTTATCCCTATGTCAACATCAGTACCTCAAGGGTTTCATTCTAAAAACATCCACGGGAGGGACCTGATTTTGAAATCCAAACCGTTTTTGTGACTTTGGGTTAAAGTCCAAGTACTGATATGCTCTGTGTTGCTCCAGACCTGTTTTTGCTCTCGGGTTTAATTAGACAAGACTCCCCTGGCTCTGTCAGGCCCTGGCCCTGTCCTCGGATTCCGATTTGCCCAGGCACCCAAGCACAGTTCAAGATCAGGAGGTCGCACTTAGTCCATGCAACAGTCCTGTAATATTATCCCCATTTTTCAGACAAGGAAGTTGAGGCTCAGAGAGGATAAATAACTTGCCTCAATGGCAGCTCTGCAAAATGGTAGAGTCAAGTTTCCCATTTCTTTTCTTCTCACCTCAAAGTCTTTGTACCTCACGCCGCCTTGTACATTGTCTTTTGCTCTGCATTCTCACCGAGACCTGGCCCACAACTCAAACCTTTGACTCTTTCCCACATGTGGTCGCGTGCGTGGGTACGTGCACACACACGCACATGCAGATGTGCGCACATACCCTTTCATCAGGTGTCTCTCTCTCTCTCTTTCTGCCCCCACCTCTTCCCTGTCCCTCCTTCCCACTACAGGAAATCCTGGTGTTTTTTTGGTTTGGGAAGAAGCCCTGGCTGGACTGGATGAGATTCTGTTCAGCCTCAGACTCCACAATTCCTCCCCCCACTTCACAAGCAGTCTCTGGCCAGGAAAGGACAAGGGGCTTTCTTTGGGATTTCTTCTGGAATTTCAGCCTGCCCTCGTCAGTTTGGTGTGGCCAAGGCCAAACTTCTCGAGCCCTCTCCCTCTGCCCCCTGCTTCTCTTCCCTGCCTCCATCCTGTGGCCCCAGGACACCTCAGGCACTTTGCTCATCCTCTCCGCCCTGCCATACATACTGTGGCCAGCCTGGGGTCGGGGTCACTCTAGCTCATTCCAGATCTCTCCTTCCCTCACTCGGTCATGGTCTTTTCGTAGGAACTGTTAATGTCCGCTCCCTTACTCACTCTGTGGACTACACCCTCTTACTCCTCCGTCAACTATCTGACTTCCTGTTGCTCTCTCCTTGGGCTTATTATAACGTAACAGCCAGCATTTATGGAATGCCTATGGTGTTCCAGGAGCTGGATGTTCATTAACTCCCATCCTCACAACAAGCCTGTGAGCTGTGGCTTATTGTCTCCAATTCACAGATGGGGCCATGGAGGCTCAAAGAAACTGAGGAACTCACCATACAGCTGGTCGGCAAGTGCTGGAGCTTAACTTAGGACTCATGTTGACCCCTCGCCAAGGCGTGGGTCCCTTGCCCATTGTTCTGCTGCATCCTCATCTGCAGGTCTCTCCATTCGAAACCCTCTTGTCCAGAGCCTCCTCTCACCACCTCGTTTTCTAAGTCCATACACTCAGCCGTGCCATCCCTAACAGCTGGAACAACTTTCAAACAGCTGGGGGGCCACCCCTCCTTTAGATCTCCAGATCATCAGTTACTGCCAGCTCAGCTTGAGTCTGCCTCCCTCCCTCAAGAAAGCAGAAAGCCACACTCCCAAATCCCAGCCCCGTTGGCTGTCCCTCTGCACCTGCTGAGTGCCCTGCGTTCATCCGTCCGCAACCCCAGGTTGGTTGCATGCCTGCTTTACCTTCTAATCAGAGAAGGAGCACAACACCTGGCAGTGCCCAACGGTCCCACCAAACCCTCACCCTCTTTGGCAGGAAACGTCTTAAGGAGACGAACTTGGCCACCCTGGGCCTGGAGGGGGTGGGGGTGAGGGCTCAAATCTTCCTGAGAATTCAGCCCTGTGAGGATGAAGAGAATCCATGGCTGGGGGAAAAGAAGGGGGGAGAGGAGAAGCCACTCGGAGCCCAGAAAGAGGATAAGAGTTGAAGGCTCCAGAGAGACGCTAAGCAAGCCTGGCACCTGGCAGGAGGGGCCTCATTCTACCCAGAGGGAAGCACAGAAGGGACCTAAGTGGCTTAATGCTGAAGTCAAGAGAAAGCAAAGCCCAGGCCTCTCCCCAGCCCCCATTTCTGCCCCCCCCACCCCGTGCCACACCAGCTCCCCCTCCCCAGCCCACCTCCCCCAGTCCCCAGCTTCCTCACCTGGTGGCCGCTGCCCTTTCCCAGGGAATGTCTGCAGGCGTGTCTGTGCCAGGCCACTAGGTACTGTCAGCCCAGTCCAGGGGAGGGACAAAGAGCCCAGGGCCGGAGCCAGATATGGCCCACAGCCCAAGAGGAACCAGACAAACATTAACCAGCCCTGCCTCCTCGCACACACAATCATTAAATGAGTTTGATCCCCTGAGCTCCCAATGGGTTTGGTGAGAGATCACATAGCCTGGAGTTGCTGCCCCATCCCAGAAGGAGAGGGGCATCACTGTCACCCATGTGCCCATGTTTAGCCTGGACCTGGGCTTGTTAACAGCCCTCAGGCTTCCCCCATCCCCTGGCCATCGGTAGATCCAGTGTGTGGGCCGAGTTGCAGAGAGGGCTCCTGCCCTGGGGGCCATCCCTCCCATCCCTTCCAGGTCCCAGCCTCTAAAACGATAGGACTATGGGGAGAAAAAAAAGACAAGGGCAGTGCCTACTGGCACCTTGACATCAAGGCGAGGAGCATGGGAGTGCATCCCCCAGACGGCAGGACCACGATGCTCTGTGGCCTACGCTTAGTGTCTGCGTCCCGAGTGGCTGGGGACGGACCAACGCATTTCCAATCCCATGCGAGAACCCATTGCCTTCTACCCTCTGGGCCAAGGCAGTTGAACCGCAAAGCAAATGATGTGCAGCAACAGATCTTAGCAATCATGAAGGCAAACAGAAGAGAGTCAACCATTAACTGAAGGGTCAGTCCAGTTTGACGGAGGGTTTACCTGAAGACCCTGCTAATTCTGCGGCCTGAGTGGCTGTGGAGAAATAAGTGAAGTCAGCAGAACCCAGTCCCCTGGCTTCTGCCCTTCACCGGAGCCCGAGCTCACTGCCGGAAAGAATGCCAGAGCCTCGGCTTCCCTTGGCCAAGTACACGGGTATGAGTACACGAGCCCCGGGTACACGGATACATTGGCCAGTAAGTCTTACTGGACACCTACTGGGCACCCAGGCTGAGACAGGTAAGGAAGGGGTAGGTGGCAAAAGAGGGGAAAGCCTCCCAGCTGTTTTTAAGAATGGCATCAACTTCCTGAGGAGACAAGACCAAGACTCAAGAAGTCACCATGAAAACTCTCCGGGTACGTTCGGTTATGTGGTTCTTGACGTTCACTGCTGAGGAGGTTTGAGGAGGGGGATGATGAGCATCAACTGACGTCATCGGGGAAGGCTTTCTAGAGGAGGTGAGGCTTGAGTGGAGCAAGAAAGGACGGGTGGGACTTTGAAAGGGGAAGGGCAGGACCAGCATTGCAGGGAGGAGGAAGAGCGTGAGTAAAGTCACAGCGGTAGGAATGGGCAGGGTGTGGCTGGGGACAGAGAGGAGGCAGGGCGGTGGTGGGTGGCCCTGGAAGATGCCATCAGTCCGCTGAGGGGATCGCAGTAGCAAGGGCAGTTAAAGCCAGGTAGGGAATTCCTTTAAGGAGCGTCTGGTAAACTTGCTATAAGGCAAAACTGAGCTCGACACCGTGGGGGGTGAGGCTGCCTGCCATCCGCCGGCACCTGGCGATTCCTGCCTTGTACACAGTGGTGCCAAGTGGATAAAGAGTAGGGCTTCCTTTGCAAGTATTACTTTGTTTGATCCTCAAAGTAACCCTGTGCGCTAGGCATTGTTACTATTCCCACGTGCCGGGGGACTGAGGCACACAGATGTCAGGTGACATAACTAACTGTCATCCAGCTAGCAACAAGAGGGTAGGTTGAGTGGAAGAGGCAGAGTTGAACTTGGGTCATAGAGGAGATGGAGACTCCAAGCATTCCTGGTGACAGCAAGCAGTGAGATGTGTTTAGGGAATGGTGGGCAGACCTGTTTGACCAGAAGAGAGAGCTCCTTTAGCAGAACTCCTTGGAAGGGAAACCGTGGGTCAATATCAGTGTGTACTCACTGTTCCTTGGAGTTCTGGCAGGATTTCTCTAGGGTGAGTCTAGTTCTGTGTGTAGTTCTAGGCTGCAGGAAGTCTATTTGAATAGTTTGAGGCCGTATTTAAAAAAATGATTACTAGAATCGACTTGTCCTCTTCCTATTTACTGCGACTTGCACGCGTCTTCTGGATGGGGTCCTGCGGCTGCCAGAGAGAACCAGAGAGAGGAAAATCGAGGAGCGAGAAAGGAGGGCATGGGGCGGGGGGAGACGGGAGGAAAACTGTACTACAGTGAGCAATGTAAATCCATTTGCTCCTGGGAAGCGGCTAAACTCAGCTTCCGCCTTGAATCCTAAGCATGCTTTCTTCCTACAATGGGTGTTTGGGGAGAATATTTTAAAATTTTACATCCGCCTGCTTATTTCCTCAGATTCACTCGGGGAGAGCTTCTTTAGGTCTCAAAACAGACCCAAGAGGCCCCAAATGTAAGCCTGCTGTCTCCGGCATGGCTCAAACGTCAGCCCAAATGAGGGCTTTCCCCATTCCTGTTCCACCCAGGACCAGGACGGACGGAGGGAACCGATCCCCCTTATCTAGGAGCACATCTCACCAGCCGCAGCGCCCGAGTTCAGAGCTTCGGACCTCGGCGTGGCGATCCAGAGACTTCCTCAGATGGCATGCAGCAGCACTGCCTCGCATGTGGGGTCCATCATCCAGCCCGTCCCTGGGCGTCATTACCAAACGAAATGCGGCATTGTGTATGGCTTTGATCAGTGAAACAGCATTGCTGTATGGCTCAGAAATCAAAGGCGCCAGCTTCCAATATAAATGTTGCTTAAGACACACAGGCAAAAACTCTTCCCAAATGGGTCCAGAGCATTAAGAAAACGGCCAAACCTGAAAATTTGCAGACCATTTCGAAAGTCCTCACCCCATGGTTCAGGCTGGGGAAGGTTTATGCAAACTGTTTCCAGGAAGGGCTGCTAGGGAAAGATGGAAGTGGTCCTGTATTCATAATTGGTGTTGGTTTTCACAAATCCTTTTCAGAAAGACACATGATTATGTGAGTGAGTCTGTGCTCCACAGGGATTCATATTCTAAAAGAGGTCAACCTGGGGTGCCTGGGTGGCTCAGTCAGTTGGTTAAGCATCTGCTTTCGGCTCAGGTCCTGATTTTGGGGTCCTGGGATTGAGTCCCGCATTGGGCTCCCTGCTCAGTGGGGAGTCTGCTTCTCTCTCTACCCCTCCCCCTGCCTGTGCGCATGCTCTCTCTCTCTCTCAAATAAATAAATAAAATCTTTTAAAAAAATTAAAAAAAGAGGTCAACTCGAGGAAGTTATCCATATTTTTTTGAGGGGGTTTCTGAAGAACTAAACCCAGACAGTACATCAATTCACTTGACAGGCATATACTTTTTGCTCTAAGGACAGTTTGGAGTGGGGAACAAAAGCAAAATTGTTTCAATCCCCCCGCCAAAAGACCTAATTGTATGAAATATCCTACAACCAGCTCCACATAGGATGGCACACTCATTCTACCAACAGTAAAGCCTGAAGGTGAGGTGGTGCTTCTTGGAGCTCATAGAATTCCTGGAAATAGAGCCTGAACCAACACCATATCCACTCCCTGCAATTCGGAAATCATTTTGCCTCTGTTTTTGTATTTTATGAAGACCCTAATTCCTGGGGTTTGAGGAATGGTACTGTGGCTCACTGATGTCTGATCAGTGCATCAACAGAAGGTATGCTTGCAAAAGATTCCAGAAAGTTCCATGTCCTTTCACCAGACCAGGTAGCCAAGTGAAGAAAATGAAATGGAAACTTGGAACTTTGGGGCTCCTGTCCTAATGTTGCTTCTTTCAGCCACTACATCTTGATGTCCATTTCCTGATCTTTCTGCTCTCGGCGGGGTGGGGAGTGTACACTGTAGGACCCAGGAAGTTCTGCAGGGGTAGAAAGTTCCCAGGTTGAATCCAGTCCTCAACTGTGACCCAAGACCATGCTCTAGAGGTAGCGTGGTAGGGGTGAAGAATCAGAGAGAAGCCCGGGTCACAGCCAGAAAAATAGGGCCAAGTGTCAAGTTTGAAGGGAGAAGTGAAAAGGACCCAGAAGGATTTAGCTCCTTCTGCTAATTTTCCAAGTTTGGGCAGTCAGCCTAATGAGCTGATGCCCTGCCCAGTAAGTGGTTAGTGGCTTAGTCCTTTCCTTCCAGTTTTCTTTCCTTATATACACACGGCCATCATTGAAATCATATTGTATATACAAGAGATCTTGTTTTCTCAGAGGAACCATTCCCAGGTCTTCTTCCGCAGGAATCTACTGGTCTCTCACCCACACCCTCAAACTGATGATCCAATAAAACATGTAAACCCAGCCCCAAATAGAAGCCCTGGTGTTCACCGTTTCTGTATACTCTTTGGACTCCTCTACCTTTCCCTCCTGGGACCTCAGCCAAGTTTGCCAACCATAACACCACGAATGCCTCATCCAGAATTCCCCAGCCTTGGTCATCACAACCACCATCCCTGCTACTTCACCAAACCACCCAGCACTACCAAGTCAATACCCAGGGAAGTGCCAGGCTGCCGATGACACCCTAAAGGCCCAGGCTTCCACTGCTCGTAGGAGGGGTGGGGGCTGGCCAGGTAGGAAAACCCAGGCGGTTTTGTTCCTACTTTACCTGCCCCCCACCGACCCTGCTACGAATTAGAAGACTGATTCCTAGGCCTATTCAGATCTCTGAAATGCCTTGCCTGTGGCCCAAAGTGCCCCACCTCCCTGTGCACAGACATCCAGCCATCCTGTGGGGGATAGAGAGCCAGAGTATGTGTTATAAGGATTCTTGGACAGCTCTCCACCCATGTGGATTCTAGCACCCGGTTCAAGGAGAAAACTGTGGGCCCCAGGGTCACCCATAAGGGCTTGAGTCCAACGCTGACTCCTGTACATAATGCATTGTGCCTTCCATGGAGCCAACTCAGCTCCAGCCTCAGCCTGGACTCAGTGTGTGTGTGTGGGGGGGGGGGTCTCAAGGGGAAGATAGGATCTAGTCCTGTGCACCTGCAACAAAACTCTGAACACCATATAAAACAGTAAGTTCTAGGGTGCCTGGGTGGCTCAGATGGTTAAGCATCTGCCTTCGGCTCAGGTCATGATCCCAGGGTCCTGGGATCCAGCCCCGCATCGGGCTCCCGCTCAGCGGGAAGCCTGCTTCTCCCTCTCCCGCTCCCTCTGCTTGTGTTCCCTCTCTCGCTGTGTCTCTCTCTGTCAAATAAATAAAATCTTTAAAAAATATATTAAAGAGGTAGGGGAACTGAGGCGAGAAACTTGCTGGGGGTTGGGGGGGGTGTGCTTTTACTCCGAAGGCTCCCTGGTGAGGGCAGCAACTCTGAGATGGGGAAGCCCCTGTGAGTCCGGGGAAGCCTCTTAGGAATCCCAGAAGCCCGGAGTGCTAAAGGGAGCTCAGCCATGTGCTAGGCCCGCCTTTGTTTGCTCACAGGGAAACTGAGGCTTGGGGAAGGGAATGTCTTACTCCTAAGGGACAGAACAAGGACGTGAACCCAGCTTGGTCAAGTCCCAGGTTGGGGCTTTTCCCATCACATCTGCCAGAGGGCGGGGAGGCTACCTGGTGCTTCGGAGTGAGGAGATGGGGTGAGGAGACATCCCCGCCCCCCCGGCTATGAAAGTTCTGACCTGTGTTTGGAGACATCTCTGGGATGGGAGGCATTGAGTCCTGAGGGAAGGCAACTGGGGACGAGGGTAGGATTAGGGACTATGTCCAATCCAGGTAGAGGGGTCAGAGTCCAGCAGGTGGCTTGTGGGGGCATCAGTTTGCAGTGAGGCGCCGAGTTTCAAGGGAGGAAGGGGGCTATTTCTCCCAGGAGCTTGGAGGAGGGGCCCTCGCCCAGGACCTGTGTGCTACCCTATCCGACTTGCGAAATCTTTCTATCATTTCCTGTCTCTCCAGAGGGAGTTGTCATTTTAATGTTTTTCAAATCAGAGGAAGGGGCCCAAGGAAACTTCTTGAGGTAATGTAAATGTTTTATAATATATTGCGGCTGTGTTTACAAAACTGCACGCAATCATGAAAGCTCCATAAACTATACTTAGAATGGATAAAAAAAAAATAAAAGGAAAGGAAGGGGGTCAGGGCATCTGATCCCCATAAAGCTGTGATTAAAACATTGTTAAGGCCCCCGCAAACCAAAAGCCAAAAGCCAGAACCAAACCAACACCCACCCCCCCCCAAAAAAAAGAAAAAAAAAACAAGGCAAGAATGGCTCAGGGTCTCACTATTTCTGCTGCCCATCGCTTTCTAGGTCAGCAAAACACCAAGGCCAGCTCATCCAGGGGGAGGTCAGAGGTTGCAAGAGAAAGAACTTGACAAACACACAAGCCACCTCTTCGTTTACTGTAAAATCCCGTTTAATGTGTAACATTGCAGGCACAGAGAGGCCTTGGGAAATGAGGCAAAGATGGCCCTGACCAACCCCCACTGCAGCTTATCTGCCTGTCCCTCCCTCCCTAATTCCTCCACCCCGGACGTGTCCTCCTTTTCCTTGTGGCCCGCAAAGCGCTGTCCCTCAAGTTTTCTTGCCTTGCCTACCCTCCCTTCTTCCCCCCACGTGTCCACAGCACCCTCCTTCCATTGCACTTGCCCACGTCCCTCCCCACCGATGTGACTCCAGAAATAGGGTCTGTGCCAACACGGGGTTAAGATTAGTTTCATAATTGGAGATGCTGTCAGAGCATCCTATCTCTTGTCCCCAGTGGCCCCAGGGAGAGGGAAGGGGAAAGGGAGTACAGACAAGAAGAGCTGCCCGCACGCCCCTGCCCACAACCTTGAGCACTGGCGCGGGTGACCTCCGGCTCCCCACCCCCTTCGGGCCCCTCAGACGAAGGCCCTGTGCGAGGGAGGGAAACCAGGGAGGGAAGGGAGATTCTGATGGAGCAGTCCCTAGCAGGCAGAGGCCTGCGCCCCGGCAGGGGAGAAGGAGGGGCAGGCTCCGGGGCGGGATGGGAGGTTGCCTGGTGTGTGGCATCAGCAGGCCGAGCAGCGGTCGCTCTTCTCAGCCAGCCCGGCCCCAGTGCCGGGGCTGCGGCGTAGTATGTCTTTCAGGGAGCCTTCCTGCTCGCTCAGCAGCTTGTTGATCTCATTCTGCTTGTATTCAGGTGAGAGGCGGTGGCCGAAGCCCGAGCCCTTGCGGGAGGGCGGATTGGAGCGGCGCTGGGCTCGGCGGGCGCAGGCCCGGATGATGAGGTACACCACCTCGGCCACGTTGAGGATGATGCAGATGCCAGAGGCGGCCAGCATGAAGACCGTGAAGACGGTTTTCTCGGTGGGGCGGGACACGAAGCAGTCCACCGTGTTGGGGCAGGGGTAGGCCTCACACTTGACGAGCCGCACCATGGCGTAGCCGGGGTAGAGCAGATAAAAGACGTACATGAAGGCGGCCTCGAACAGCAGCCGGAAGACCACGCTGATGACGTAGGTCCACCACAGTGTCCCTGAGATGTGGACCTTGTGCCTCTTCACCTCTTCCAGGTGCAGGGGGTCCGCGTGACCCTCGAGGCGCAGCATTTTCTTTTCTATGTGCTGCTGGTGAGCCACGTGCATGGCCACAAGGAGAGCCGGGGTGGACACCAAGATGAGCTGCAGAGACCACAGGCGCACGTGGGAAATGGGGAAGAAGTGGTCGTAGCAGACACTGTTGCAGCCGGGCTGAAGGGTGTTGCAGATGAAGGAAGACTTCTCGTCACCCCACACGCTCTCCGCGGCCACCACCAGCACCATGATCCTGAAGATGAAGATGACCGAGAGCCATACGCGACCAATGGCAGTGGAATGCCGGTTCACGCCACTGAGCAAGGTGTACAAACCTGTCCAGTTCATCCTGCCTCATTCACACCTGCAAAACACGAGCCACAGAGCAGGCTGGCAGAAAGCTGGGGCAGAAAGCTGGACACCGTAACACGGCCTGACACACCCCCCCACCCCCGTCTCCCCTTCCGAGAGCCAGTGACAGGAAGGGAAGAAGGATGGTCATCGCTTTCCTCATCACCCCATGTCCCTTGCCAGCCTCTCTTCCTCCTCCTCCTCCTCACTTGACTTGACCTCCCTGAACCCCATCTCCCTTCTTCGCTTTCGTCCAACGTTCTTTCCTCTCCAGAGCCCCTTTCTTCAGCAGGCCCATTTTGTTCTGCCATCAGCCATCCTCTTTAGCTCCCCATCCCCCAGCTCCTTAGCTCTGGACCTGGGGTGAGCCCAACAAAGCCCATTACCTTGGGGAGCGCCTATCCCTGAGGCCACCCAGACAGGTCCCCTATGGTCTCATGTCTGTGCAGGGGGAGTGGTCCCTGGGTCCGCGCCTGCGTTCCAATTCATCGCCGCCCGGTGCTGGGGAGTCATATGCTGCTTTATACCCAGTGTCTGCACAATGGGACCTTTGTGGGGCTCTGAACAACGCCCTTTAGAATTCAGATCAAACGCCCTGACTTCCGCCCACCCTACACACAGAGCACTTGTGTCCCAGCGCCGGACACCCAGCCTGCACCCACCTGTTCTGTGCCCGCCCGGTCCATCGCCGCACCCGCCCCACAGCCCCACCAGAAGAATGGCCATGGCGAGGGGTGGGGGGAGATGGGACAAAGACAGGTGCACGTAAAAGGGGACCCGAGGGGACCAGGAGGCTCCGGGCTGAGGCTGTCGCCCATGACTCTCCTAGAAACTTAGGGTCAGCCGGACTTTTCCTAGGTTGAGAGCCCCTGCACGGTATGTATGGGGGAGCTCGCTCGTACGTCCCATAAGCTTTTTCCCATACATTCTTTCTTCGGACCCACTCAGCAGGCCTCCAAGGACTTTATCCCAGTCTGTCCAGATGAGGAGGCCGAAGCTCAGATAAGTCAAGCAACTTACTCAAGGTCACACAGCTAAGAAGTGTTACAGTAGGATGAAATGCACAAGCATCTGAAGCCGAGGCTTAGGCTCTTTCCCCGGTAGGCCCTTCGTGCTTTTTGCAGCGGGTGTCGGCAAAAGCAAAAGCCAGCCGTTAAGAACGACAACAAAAGCAAGGGTTAATGCTCCCCACGAGAGCACGAGGAACATAGCAGCTGCAGACCCCTGAGTACTTTCCAACTCTGGTGTCATGGAGCAAACCCTGACCATCCCTCCTTGAGCTTCAGGTGACAGGTGGGCACCAGAGCGAGAAGACAAAAGTTAACAAGCAAACAGAAGGCTGGAAGATGGGACAGGGAAGAGTCATACGCCTTTGGGTTTGAATCCGGGTTCTTCGCCTAACACGACCGCGGGCTAGCTCCTGACCTCCTCTGAGCCTGCTCGCTCATCTGTAAGTGGGTTGTTAATACCCAGGGTTACTGTGAGCTTCAGTGAAGCCACCTGCAGAAAGTTCTCGGCCCAGCTCCAGTTTCATAGCTGGTGATCAAGGGAGTAAGCACCTTATCGGAAAGAGAAAACATGTTGCTTCAGGGGACTGGGTGGTCTGCCAACCCCAACGTCCCTCCTTTCGCTTCCCAATGCTGCCGTTGACGTATAGTGCCCGTGCAGAGATGGAACAGGCTGTTCTGTCCTGCCCCCGACAGCAAATGGACATTGTGACCTCCTGCTTTCCCGAGCCTGCCAGTGGCTCTAGGGCAGAAACTCCCCTCTGCGCTTTGCGCAGGGGAAGAAGGCCGCCCCCCTACCTCCCATCACTTCTTTTTTTTTTTTTTAATTTTATTTATTTTTGCGAGAGAGAGCATGAGAGGGGTGAGGGTCAGAGGGAGAAGCCGACTCCCTGCTGAGCAGGGAGCCCGATGCGGGACTCGATCCCAGGACTCCAGGATCATGACCTGAGCCGAAGGCAGTCGCTTAACC